GGATGGATGGATGGATGGATGGAATCCATGGATGGATGGATGGAATCCATGGATGGAGACATGGATGGATCCATGGATAGAGATCAAGGAAGGAAGGAAGGACAGTCAAGACAACTCGGGGAAGGCGACCACCAACTCCAAACCCACCGATTCCCCTCCTTGCCTCATCCCTGGGTAAATCCGGAGCTCCTGGATGCTCCAGCTGACGGAACCTCCTTTGGAGAGCCCCAGATCCCAAAAGTTGGGAATTTTGTGCCGCGTTCAGCGCGTCCCCGCTGCCCTTCCCGCTTTGCACTATTCCCAGCGGGGCTGCGCTGACGGTGCTGCCAAAATCCTCCGCTGAATTCCCTTTTTTAAATGCTTATTTTATTTTATTTTATTTTATTTTATTTTATTTCATTTTATTTTATTTTATTTTATTTTATTTTACTTTTATTTTATTTTATTTTATTTTACTTTTATTTTATTTTATTTTATTTTACTTTTATTTTATTTTATTTTATTTTATTTCATTTCATTTCATTTCATTTCATTTCATTTCATTTTATTTCACTTTGCTCTATTTTATTTTATTTCATTTTATTTTATTTTATTTTATTTCATTTTATTTTATTTCATTTCATTTCATTTCATGTCATTTTAATTGTACTTTATTTTATTTTACTTTATTTTATTTTATTTTATTTTATTTCATTTTATTTCATTTTGTTTCATTTTATTTTATTTTATTTCACTTTGCTCTATTTTATTTTATTTCATTTCATTTCATTGGCTTTTTTTCCCCTAAGGTTCACACCGCGAGGGTTGTCTAAAAAAAACAAAAAAAAACAAAAAAATCGGGAAAAGGAAATTTTGACCAAACCTTTTCTCCGAGCTGGGCAGAGCCGCTGGCTCGGGAATAGAACCAGAAATTCAATATTTAATGGGATTTCTCCATCCCGAGGTTTTAAGGAGCTGAGGGAGCTGTTGGGGGAGCCCAAATCCTTTGGGATCCGCGTCCCCAGACCCGCTCCGGCACAATTCCCTTCTTGCACTTTGAAATTCCTTTGGAATTTTCTCTTTTTCCCCCATCCTGAGCTGGGTCCTTCCCCTTCCCTCGGCATCCCTGGAGGTGCTGCCCAAAATCCCCCTGGAAAATCCCAAATCCCGGCTGTGCTCCGGGATCCCAAATCCCGCCTGTGCTCCGGGATCCCAAATCCCGGCTGTGCTCCGGGATCCCAAATCCCTGCGGTATTCCAGTATCCCAAATCCTGGCAGTGCTCCAGGATCCCAAATCCCGGCAGTGCTCCAGGATCCCAAATCCCTGTTACCCCGGGATCCCAAATCCCTGTGATACTCCAGGATCCCAAATCCCGGCTGTGCTCCGGGATCCCAAATCCCAGCATTGCTCCGGGATCCCAAATCCCTGCGGTATTCCAGGATCCCAAATCCCTGCGGCACTCTGGGATCCCAAATCCCGGCTGTGCTCCGGGATCCCAAATCCCTGTGGCGCTCCGGGATCCCAAATCCTGGCATTGCTCCAGGATCCCAAATCCCGGCTGTGCTCCGGGATCCCAAATCCCTGTTACCCCGGGATCCCAAGTCCCTGTTACCCCGGGATCCCAAATCCCTGTGGTATTCCAGGATCCCAAATCCCGGCTGTGCTCCGGGATCCCAAATCCCTGTGGTATTCCAGGATCCCAAATCCCGGCTGTGCTCCGGGATCCCAAATCCCTGTGGTATTCCAGGATCCCAAATCCATGCGGCGCTCTGGGATCCCAAATCCCGGCTGTGCTCCGGGATCCCAAATCCCGGCTGTGCTCCGGGATCCCAAATCCCGGCAGTGCTCCGGGATCCCAAATCCCGGCAGTATTCCAGGATCCCAAATCCCGGCAGTGCTCCGGGATCCCAAATCCCGGCTGTGCTCCGGGATCCCAAATCCCTGTTACCCCGGGATCCCAAATCCCTGTGATACTCCAGGATCCCAAATCCCTGTGGTACCCCAGGATCCCAAATCCCGGCAGTGCTCCGGGATCCCAAATCCCGGCAGTGCTCCGGGATCCCAAATCCCGGCTGTGCTCCGGGATCCCAAATCCCTGTGGTGCTCCGGGATCCCAAATCCTGGCATTGCTCCAGGATCCCAAATCCCGGCAGTGCTCCAGGATCCCAAATCCCAGCAGTGCTCCGGGATCCCAAATCCCGCCTGTGCTCCGGGATCCCAAATCCCTGTTACCCCGGGATCCCAAATCCCGCCTGTGCTCCGGGATCCCAAATCCCTGTTACCCCGGGATCCCAAATCCCTGCGGTATTCCAGGATCCCAAATCCCGCCTGTGCTCCGGGATCCCAAATCCCGGCAGTGCTCCGGGATCCCAAATCCCTGTTACCCCGGGATCCCAAATCCCAGCGGTATTCCAGGATCCCAAATCCCTGTGGTACTCCAGGATCCCAAATCCCTGTGGTATTCCAGGATTCCAAATCCCTGCGGTATCCCGGGATCCCAAATCCCTGCAGTGCTCCAGGATCCCAAATCCCTGTGGTATTCCAGGATCCCAAATCCCTGCGGTACCCCAGGATCCCAAATCCCGGCTGTGCTGCCCGTGGCCTCCAGCCCCATTTGCAACCCCAAAAACCCCAAATCTGTGCCCAAATCTCCCAATCCTTCCCAAATCCAGCCCGGGGGATCCGGAAGGGCTGGGAAGGGAATGGATCCCCCGGGAGACCCCAAATCCCTTCGGGATCGGCCCCGGCTTGGGGCCGGTGCCCAAATCCCCTGGACAAGGCCAGGACACCAAAGGGAGCCGGATCCGGGAATTCCCAGAGCCGGATCCAGGAATTCCCAGAGCTGTATCCAGGAATTCCCGGAGCCGGATCCAGGAATTCCCGGAGCCGGATCCAAGAATTCCCGGAGCCGGATCCAGGAATTCCCAGAACTGTATCCAGGAATTCCCGGAGCTGGATCCAGGAATTCCCAGAACTGTATCCAGGAATTCCAGGAACTGGATCCAGGAATTCCCAGAACTGGATGCAGGAATTCCTGGAACTGGATCCAGGAATACCCGGAGCTGGATCCCTGTGATTGTCTGGGAATTCCCGAAGCTGGATGCAGGAATTCCTGGAACTGGATCCCTCTGGATTTCCGGGAATTCCCGGAGCTGGGTCCAGAAATTCCCAGAACTGGATCCAGGAATTCCCAGAACTGGATGCAGGAATTCCTGGAACTGGATCCAGGAATACCCGGAGCTGGATCCCTGTGATTGTCTGGGAATTCCCGAAGCTGGATGCAGGAATTCCTGGAACTGGATCCCTCTGGATTTCCGGGAATTCCCGGAGCTGGGTCCAGAAATTCCCAGAACTGGATCCAGGAATTCCTGGATCTGGATCCAGGAATTCTCGGAGCTGGATCCAGGAATTCCCGGAGCCGGATCCCTCTGGATCTCTGGGAACTCCTGGATCTGGATGCAGGAATTCCCGGAGCTGGATCTCTCTGGATCTCCAGGAATTCCCCGAACTGGATCGTTGTGATTGTCTGGGAATTCCCAGAACTGGATCCAGGAATTCCTGGAGCTGGCTCCAGAAATTCCCGGAGCTGGATGCAGGAATTTCTGGGACTGGATCCCTCCAGATCTGTGGCAATTCCTGGAACAAGATCCAGGAATTCCCGGAGCTGGATCCTTCTGGATCTCTGGGAATTCCCAGAGCTGGATGCAGGAATTCCCGGAGCTGGATGCAGGAATTCCCAGAGCTGGATCCCTCTGGATCTCTGGGAATTCCCAGAGCTGGACCCCTGTGATTGGCAATTCCCGGAGCTGGATTCAGGAATTCCCGGAGCTGGATCCCTCTGGATCTGTGGCAATTCCCGGAGCTGGATCCCTGTGATTGGCAATTCCGGGACCTGGATTCGGGAATTCCCGGAGCTGGATCCCTCTGGATCTGTGGCAATTCCCGGAACTGGATCCCTGTGATTGGCAATTCCGGGACCTGGATCCCTCTGGATCTGTGGCAATTCCCGGAACTGGATCCCTGTGATTGGCAATTCCGGGACCTGGATTCGGGAATTCCCGGAGCTGGATCCCTGTGATTGGCAATTCCCGGAGCTGGATCCCTCTGGATCTGTGGCAATTCCCGGAACTGGATCCCTCCTGCTCCCGGGAATTCCGGGATTGGGGGATCAGGGACACAAAGCACTTACACCTCCCCCTGTGCCCGACCTTCCAAAGGCTCCCAAATCCCGGGAATTTTCCAATTCCCGCCGGGAATCTCCCCAAAAATCCCTTGGGCAGAGCCAGGAGCGGGAGCTGGGAAATTCCAGGTGGGGATTTTGTTTTTCCTGTGGGGAAAAAACAACAAAAAAAAAAACACAAACAAAAAAAGCCAAAACAAAACAAAAAAAAAGCAACAAAAAACCGGGAGATCGGGGGAAGGAGAAGGAAAAAAAAAAGGAAAAAAAGGAAAATCTGGAGATTATCCACATTTCGCTTGCACTGGGGTACGTTTTTCTTTACCCATTTCCACGCTCTCCTTTAGGATGGTTGCATGTCTCCTTTTGGGGTTTTTTCCCTTTATTTTATTCGTTTTTAGGATTTTTTGTTGTTGTTTTTTTAAATATTCAACGAAAGAGAAAAATGTGTATATTTTTGGCAATTCAAGGCGATGTAGCTAAGATATATTTTTTTCACGCTGCTTGACTGGTCTTTATTATAATAAATATTAATATTAATATTATTATTAATTGCGAGGGGGGTTTTTAATGAAGGTGAGAGGGGAGAAGTTAAGTGGGAATGGGAATGAACTGGGATTGGGAACTGGGAATGGGAATTGGGATTGGGCACTGGGAATGGGCACTGGGAATGGGAATGGGAATGGGAATGGGAACTGGGATTGGGAACTGGGAATGGGAACTGGGATTGGGAATGGGAATGGGAATGGGAATGGGAATGGGAATGGGAACTGGGATTGGGAACTGGGACTGGGAACTGGGACTGGGCACTGGGAATAGGAACTGGGATTGGGCACTGGGAATGGGATTGGGCACTGGGAATGGGAATGGGAATGGGAACTGGGAATGGGAATGGGAATGGGAATGGGAATGGGAATGGGAACTGGGAATGGGAATGGGAATGGGAATGGGAATGGGAATGGGAACTGGGATTGGGAACTGGGACTCGGAATGGGCACTGGGAATGGGAATGGGAATGGGAATTGGAAATGGGATTGGACATTGGGAATGGGAACTGGGAGTGGGAACTGGAAATTGGAACTGGGACTGGGATCGGGGAATGGGAATGGGAATGGGAATGGGAACTGTGACTGGGAACTGGGATTGGGACTGGGAATGGAAACTGGAAATGGGAACTGGGATTGGGAACTGGGACTGGGCACTGGGATTGGGCACTGGGATTGGGAGTGGGCACTGGGATTGGGACTGGGAACCAGACCCGGCACCGGGAACCAGAACCAGTATTGGGAACTGGCACTGGGAACCGGCACCGGGAACCGGGACCTGCACTGGGAACTGGGACCCAAACTGGGAACCGGGACTGGTGCAGGAATCCAGAACTGCCACTGGGAACCGGGACCGGCAACGGGAACCGGGACCATCACCGGGAACCGGGACCGGCACCGGGAACCGGGACCGGCAACGGGAACCGGGACCGGCACTGGGAACTGGGATCGGCACCGGGAACCGGGACAGGCACTGAGAACTGGAACCGGCACTGGGAACCAGAACCAGTATTGGGAATTGGCACTGGGAACCGGCACTGGGAACTGGGACTCAAACTGGGAACCGGGACTGGTGCAGGAATCCAGAACTGCCACTGGGAACCGGGACCGGCAACGGGAACCGGGACCCAAACTGGGAACCGGGACCCAAACTGGGAACCGGGACTGGTGCAGGAATCCAGAACTGCCACTGGGAACCAGGACCGGCAACGGGAACCGGGACTGGCACTGGGAACCGGGACCAGTATTGGGAACTGGCACTGGGAACCGGCACCGGGAACCAGACCCGGCACTGGGAACTGGGACAAGCACTGGGAACCGGGATCGGCACTGGGAACCGGGATCGGCACCGGGAACCGGGACCAGCGCTGGGAACCGGGACCGGCACCGGGAACCGGGACAGGCACTGAGAACTGGAACCGGCACCGGGAACCAGAACCAGTATTGGGAATTGGCACTGGGAACCGGCACTGGGAACCGGGACTCAAACTGGGAACCGGGACTGGTGCAGGAATCCAGAACTGCCACCGGGAACCGGGACCGGCAACGGGAACCGGGACCAGCACTGGGAACCGGGACCAGTATTGGGAATTGGCACTGGGAACCGGCACCGGGAACTGGGACCGGCACTGGGAACCCGGACCAGCACTGGGAACCGGGACCGGCACTGGGAACCAGGACCGGCAACGGGAACCGGGACCATCACCGGGAACCGGGACCGGCACTGGGAACCGGGACCGGCACCGGGAGCGGGTGACGGGGGCGGCAGCGGTACCGGCCCCGGGACCGCAGCGCGGGGGAGCGGCCCCGCACGGAGCAGCCGCGCTCCCGCCGAGCCCGCCCGGTGCGGATCTTCCGGGGCGGCGGGAGGAGGAGGAGCCGCGCCGGGAAGGTCACCGGGAGAGACACCGGGAGAGACACCGGGAGAGACACCGGGAG